TAAAACAACAACAACAACAACAACAATAAGTTATTATAACATGTTGAATGTTCCATCGTTTTGCTGGAACCATACTCCCTCACCCCCTCCGCAGTTCTTTATATTGGAGAAGGCTCATGCTGAAGCTTATGCCGTCTTATAGACTTAAAGATGATATTCGCACGCTTGGGAACCTACCAGTTTTTACGAGATTGACACAAGCCTTGATGGGCGCTCGTCCAAAAAAGCCACGATCTAACTTCCAATCAAGAACTTAACAGCAAGGGTGGAAGGATAGAAGTGTATTGCCGTAGACTACCAGCGTATTTTATGCCAAAAGGGGATATATGCGTAGGTAAAAGCTCGGACTGCTATTGGACAAATGTGATAGTTTCCTTGAGAGGTCATCAGAAGGTCCACCAACCTCCCGACTAATCCGACTGACGGAGTAGAACACTAATCTGTCGGTAATATGCGCCATATCATCGCGCGTACGGCCTATGTGCGAATCAATAGTAAAGCGTGCAAATGCGTCTGTCAGAGCTACGCTTAGCACCAGTGACGATTTGCTGCACGGAGGATTAAATAATAGGCAAACCTACCTATGTGTACCTAAGCACGATGTGTGCCTAGCATCGTTCGTCCTCTTCGGATGTAAAGTCACCGAACTCAGGTTTTCGATGCCATGGCGGGACTTTGGTCATGATTTATTTTCAAAACACAATCTTGCAGCAAATGAAGTTTGACTTCGTGATAAATATGGATGTTAGGTATACACACGCATGCTGTTCTACTTCCTGGAGTGAACAAAAGGTGAGATTTCTACCAAACAAAAAGTTAATGAACGCTCCATTTTATGTTTCTTCTCTCGACGAAAATGAAGTCTAGTAGGCGTAGAATACCATAACTGTCACCTACAAAGCGCAGGATGCTCACGACTTTCAGGCCCGGAGGCATAAAAAGCTGGTAGTACTATAGTGTGTACAGAATTATTCCACAATAAGTCGTGGGAAGGTGGCCGCCGAACAGGGTTACGCACTCAATACCAGGACATAAGATTAACTCCTTACATCAGGAAATGTCACCCAAAATGTAGGAATGGATTTTCGATCTGAGCAGAATACTTGAGTGGTGTTGTAATAGTTATTATCATGAGGCCCGATTTCGAGATATTTCAGACGCATGCCGGCTTTTGAACAACTATGTCACTGACTGCCCGCAAAAATCATACTTCGTAAAAGATGGCTACGTATGCAGCATGCATTTTTCATGTTAAGTTTGAATTGCATCATTAAGTCGGATGTGCCTTCTAGCTAATACAAGCGAACATGCGGTCCCGTGAAATAATTGAGCAGAAGACGACGCAATCGCTGGGAGAATAATTTTATTCACCTGAAGTTTCGAAATCCGTCGCGGATTCATCATCAGAGACATGCTTAGATAGCAGTCGCAGATGCGTGTAGGGTATGTACAGGAGTTTGCAGTATTTTTAGGAGACAGTCAATGCTGCAAACATACAACGTCAATTAACGCTAATTGCCATTTTTCGTGTTGATAGTTCGTTGAACAGCAGGTGGGCTCTGAAGT